CACCAGCAGTGCCAAACAGCCACACTGGTATGTAGACATATTATCTGTTATTCTACAATCATAGACTGTTTATACATGGACGTAGTCTCAGCGATGTCACACGCGTTGGTTTCTGAAGCAGACTTTTGAAGCCCATCAGTGGTGGGTGTCATATTGGAAATGCTGTCTCAAACTAACTTTCAGTGACAGGTACAGAGCTGGAGCTGAGATGGGCTTTAAGCCTCCTGACGAACGGGTACAACAAGCTGCCTGTCAGTCACGCCCCTTATTATGAGTAACTCCCTAATATAATTAAAACAGATTCGTGACTAAAGGAAACCTCTCCCTGAACAGATGGTGTCCTGTACCAGGCTGTTAACATGTACATTTCTGCTGTCAAAATTGACATTTCAAGATTGGGTGTGTACGAGACATCCCCTTTTGGAGCTTGCCTTAAGTGGACACTCGAGGAATTTCTAGTTTTTGGCACTTGCACATTGGATTAATTTTTTACCACTTGGCTCAAATAATTTCCAAAGAATTTATAACATGTCACTATTTTCCTCAGTTCCTTAAAGTGCCCCAACAACAAAAACTTAAGTCTCAAAATTAGACAAAAGGATGTGGGGAGAATAAAACATTGTGTACACCTCCACAGTTCTCCCTCCTCCTCCTCAGCGCAAGTCCACTAATACACTGCTGACGGGTGCTACCAACTTCCTATCTCCCCCAAACTGTCATAAGAGAGGGAGGAAAGTCACTTACAAAGTCCCATGTCTTTTGGGTCATAGGTGAAGAGGCGTTCGCTGTACTTTCCAGTGATGTCGTTACGCACAGCTTTTGATGGATCTGCAGAGAACATGTTACATGATCAGCTGAGGAGAGGGATCATTAACATCTGATTATTTGTGCATTTAATTAAGTTTGTTGCAATTATCAACTCATTGGTATAATTCAATTAGAAAACAAGAATAGAAAGAACTCAACGTCTAAATAAAAGAGAGAAAGTGAAGATCTGTCAACAGATAACAGGTGTGAGGGAGAAATCACATAGCTAGGACCTTATTTAGGACTGAGTGAAAAACAAAGTCACTGTTTCTTTTTCTTACCAACACCTCCTACACATTCATTAAGAACATGTTACTGTATGTACCAGCATCAAATCGATCGATTCTGGAAAACATATTCTGCT